GAGGTACAGGTCAGCCATGATCTAGTAGAATGGCGAAATAGGTTTGAGGGGCTGAATAGCTTGAGAAGCTGAATGGCCTACTCCTGTTCCCGTGTTCCTGTTCCTGTTCCTATGAATTAAACTCTTACTCTGGGACTGCTGTGGGAGGCAGCCTGCTGTTGTTTGAATCGAATAAGTTTAGTGCGTGACTGGAGATGTACTGTGTTCAGTGCTGGTTTGTGTCAGCCTGCCTCAGTTAGTCACATTCTCACCTCTGAGTCAGAAGGATATGGCTTCAACCTCCACATTGGGACTTGAGCTCATCGCCCAGGCTGACACTAGTGAAATAACACTGAGACAGTTTTTAGAGGTGCTGTCGTTTGGATGAGGCCCCATGTACCTTGACATTAAAGATGCCGTGACACTATTTGACTTTACAATTTCTCCCAAGTTCTCACCAGCAATTGTTTATTAACAAAAACAATAGATATTTACTTCATGGGTGTCTGTGGGACCCCACTGTGCTTAAATTGACTGTCTTTGAACATAGGAACATGGGAACAGGAGTAGGCCATTCAGCTCCTCAAGCCTTTTCAGCCATTCAATAAGTTAATGGCAGATCTCTATCTCTAGAGATACACTTGAGACCAACAACCACAACAACAACTTGCACTTATATAATGCCCACCACCCAGGGTAGCATTTCAGAGTACTTAAAGAGAGCAATTACATGTGGAGAACTTTGACACGTTTTGACATTATAGGCGCTGTATCAAATGCAAGGATTAAGCCCTGTGTGATGTGAGGCTGGAGAGCATAAATGGATAATAATCCTTACATTTGATATAGACATCTTCACATCAGGAGGGCATCTCAAAGTGCTTCAAAGGATTTACTGTAAAGCAAAGGGACTATGAACTTTGCAGGTGAAAGAGTAGCCAATGTACACACAACAATTTGTCCCACAAACTGCCATGAAGTGAATATCCAATTTTATTTAGGAGATTGTTGGCCAGGATACCAGGAGAAACTTTCTTCTCTTTTTGAATTGTGTCAGTTTAATATCTCATCTGAAGCAATGCAAGAGTTGCCCTCTCTCTTTAGTATATGTGAAATCCTGTAACATTTGTTTAGAGCACTTGTCTCGCAAGCGAGAGGACCTGAGTTCGACTCCCAAGCAAAGCAAAACCTTCGGCAAGTTTCTTTAATCCACATTTCTCTGTTTCCCTAGCAGTCAGTAGGAACCCAGTAGTTAGTTGATTGGCGGATCAATTTCTAAGGGTAATATCTTCAAAAAAAAGAATTGAAAAAAAAGAATTTGGTCACTCAATTCACGACGCTTGTGAGACACTGCTGTGCGCAATTGGCTGCCATGTTTCACCCACAAAAAATATGGTAACAACAATAACCAGATTTCATTTATAGAGCGCCTTTCACATCAGGAGGATGTCCCAAGGCGCTGGACAGTTGGGTCGGGACCCGAGCAGGGGGAAATGGTCAGGGTGAGGGGAGGGAAGGGAGGGAGCGAGGAGGGGATAGAGAGTCAAGAGGGGAGCTGAAGGCGCGGTCGAAGAGAAAAGTCTTGAGACCGGCCTTGAAGGAGGAGAGGGAGGAAGCGGCGAAGGCACTGGGGGATGGAGTTCCAGAGCCTCAGGGCTGAGAGGCTGAAAGCCTGGCCACCGATGGTTGGGCGGTTGGGGCGGGGGATGTGGAGCAGACCGGAGCCAGAGGAACGGAGGGTACAGGCAGGTAGGTAGGGGGATAGTAGGTCGGAGAGGTAGGAGGGAGCGAGGCCATGAATGGCCTTGTAGGTGAGGATGAGGATCTTGAATTCGATCCTCTGGGGGATAGGGAGAGGTAACTTCACTTTCAGGATATATTGTGACATGCTTTGAGATGTCTCAATGAAGGGATAATGCTCTATATAAAATGCAAGGATTATTATATTATTTTTAATTTTTGACCAATTCCTTCAATACAGCAAGCGTGGTCTGTTCCATCTACTTGGCAGACATTTAGGAGGAGAGAAGGGCTGATCGCACTCATGTCAGGCCAGGGACATAGGCCCATTGAGGCAGAGAGGGCATGTAGCCCTATGCCAGAGCCTTTTGGCCCACAACTTCAATGGGCCAGACTGTCTGGAGAATTCACGGAGCTTTGCCAGGAAATGAGATGTTCGCACCAGTTGTTCTCAGTGGGGTGGAGATGTTTTACATGGTCTGTTGGGTGGAATGGTCTCGAATGGCTTGATATCCCGAAGTAGGCCAGGAATTCTGGGTTTAAATCCCATTGAGCCGCGTTAGCCCTTTACTCTCTCAATGTTGATAAAATGCATTTGACTGCCTCAGGGAAGAGGTAAGTAATGTCTCCCTTGGCCTGGCATTGTCTCTGACAAGATATCTTCAAAAAGTCAAGTGGGTTACACCAAGGTATTGTTAATGGCTGACAAACCGTTCTGGTTCATCTTGGAGGGATAGGCACGGACTCAAATCAAAGCTGCAATGTGTAGTTACTGCGATCCTAGCTGACCAAGTTCTGTGCTGCACCATTACCGCTAAGGGGTGCAGGCTAGACTTTCCTCTTTCCCGAGCTCCTATGACTACATGCTGTGTCATTGTCGTGAGATTTCCGGGTATTGCATTTCTCACTGGTGCAAGCCTAGTCCTGGCCCCAGGCATGGTGGGAATTGTACAGATGGGGTGGGGTGGGCAGGCGGGGTGCGGTGGGAACGGGTAAGGCTGCCTGAAAACACCAGGGTTTCCCAAACCAAACCACAGCACAACATAAAACATTAGTTGAGCTGAGAATAAAAGTGTGTTTAATCAGCAGAGCTCAATGGAATGTCAATCAATCTGGCACAGATGTGAATGGAGAGCTGTGCCCTGGGTTTCAGCGCTGAGCATGCAGATGTAAGCAAGGACTGGAGTCAAGGCTTTGATGTGCTGCTGGATCAGTGAAGCAGGCTGCAGATAGGTATCAATTGAACATCAGCCACTTGTGCAACTGGGATTCATTAGTGTGTTTTCTTTGTGGTGTTTCCCAAGGCTACATTCTTCTGCATTTACATCATTTTCATTTTTGTAATGAATTCCAATTCAATTCAATTGACCGCCAGTCTCTCTCTCTCTCTCTTTTTTCATTGTGCAGAGAGATCTCATTTCATTCCAGGACTTAGTTTGACAACTAAACATCTCCAATGGCATCACCTGGTGCCATGTTCGAACCAGCATTCTAGGTTTTGAATCAGGCTCTCTCTCCCCACCCCCCTGGAGATCCACACCTCCAGCCCCTTCCCCACCAGGGAATCATGTGGGTTATAACTTGTTGTGATGCTGAGAGCAACTACACTGTCAGATTTATCCTTTGTTTTTGTTCCAAAATGGAATTCACATCACTGAAACACAATAACACAAAGAGCTAGAGATCGGCAGGTGGTCTGACTGAGGCTGTTGGCCTCCAACCCAAGGCTCTGTTGTCTTGCTTGATCCTAAATTCTAAGACAACAATAGAAGGCTCTTTGTTATTGTTGTTGTCTCAGAATTTAAGATCGTACAGAATTTTAGATAAATCTTTAATTCAGTCTTAGCTCAAAGGGCTGGTTCTGTGAGAACTCTGAAACACCGCTTTCCAAGTTAAGTCTGAATTAAGAAGTTTCCAAAATTGTACAACCACCTTTTGAGACAATTGTATTGAGGAAAAAATCATGAGAAAATGTCAGGCTTCACATACCTTTGTATTTGCCAGTGCTCAGACCGATTTGTCTGGTGAGAATCTGCCTCTACTGAGTCACTATTTCTCTGTAAAGTATCTGCTGCCATTGTTGCACAATCTATAGTTACCTATTCTTGTTGTCTCTATGGCAATGTTATTGCGAAGGGCACAGGTTCCTTGATACGTCTCCTCTACTCCCAAGGGTAATTAAACATCTACAACTGAGAAGCAGCTTCTTTTAGTTACGCCCATGTTTCACCATATAAGGGTCAGTGTCTTTGTATATTGATAAGATGATATTGAATCTTATTTTAACTAGATGGCTCTACCATCAAGACTAGTGGTGAGGATTCAACACATTCCTGGCTTGAGCCTCGTAAATGCTGGTGTGAGAAGATGATTGGTACTAGCTGATAGTGCTTTCATCTGTGAGTCAAAAGGTTATGGGTTTGAACTCACCATTGTGCTCGCAATACAATAAGTGTCAGGGCAACGCTGCATTGACAGAGGTGTAGTTGTTCAGATAAGATGTTAAACCAAGATCCCACCTGCCTACGTTTCCGGTGGACATTAAAGATCTCATGGCATTATTCATCCAGATAATCATCCAGATAAATTTAGTCATTCACTTCATGGCTTTTTGTGGACCACTGCTGTGCGCAAATATTGCCTGCCGCGTTCAGCTACAAAAATATAAGGTTTAATGTGAGTCACTACATTTCCCAGTAAATGCTGTGAAGCACTTTGAGACATCCTCCAGATTTGAGAGGCAATATAACAAATGAAAGGTTTATTTTATTAATTATTAGGAAGTAAACCAGACCTGGGTTCGATTCCTTGGTGGGGCAAATGGTTACTCCACACACTTCTGTTTACCCGCAGTAAATAGGAACCTAGGTATTAATTGATCGGTGGATCGCTTTTCTGGGAGTAATAATCCCTTCAAAATAATAAAAATTAAAAATAATAAAAATTTGGTTACCCAATTCATGACTTGTTGTGGGACACTGCTGTGTGCAATTGGGTGCCGCGTTTCGCCCACAAAACATACTGTCCACCAATAATTTTTTTTTTACTTCATGCTGTTTATGAGTTATTGCCGGATGCAAATTGGCTGGTTTGGTCTCTGCAGTTTACAGGAATTCTCTTTGAAGCACTTTGAGTAATTTCAAAGTTGTAAGAAGTGTTGCTTTACTAGATGGATTGAGTCTGTAGATATCCCCAACCTGCATGGCTTCTGCTTAGGTAGTGTGGCCATTAACTCAGAGGTAGTGAGTGAGAAGAAAGAAAGAACATACATTATCATTAAATATAGGTAGAAAATTACAGTACATTTAATCTGTCAATAACTGTAAAATCATCTTGTGTGGCTGACTGGAAACAGAAAGACAAACAGTGTTGGAGGTGGTTACAAAGATTAACATCCTTCTGGATTATTGGCGAAAGGAAGAGTAAGTGACTTAATGCTGTGTAACATAGATATTAATGCAATTCTGTAACGCAGTGTAATACTGGAGTCTAGCGCTGGCTGGGAAACTGTACTGTCCAAATTATAAAGTACAAATAATTCGAGATGTATTAAATAGTTAATTATGAAGTTCGGCAATAAGCAGTCTGCAGGACACGCCGAACCAGGTGACACCCGCAAGCGACTGACACCCACCAAATATTCTAACTTAAATAAGGTGCAACTTCATTGTAACTGTACAAAACCGCATGTTCTCAAATTCCACTTTCTCGAAGACTTGGACTGCAGGTGTGAGGAACGTTGGTGGAGAGAAGGCCCTTTTTTCAATTCATTTTACAGTCAACTCTCCAACACCCTCACTCTAATTCCCTGAACTGTTGAGTTATCCGGAGAGCTCCCGAAACATCCCCTGGTTCAGATTGTTTTTTCTCCAGAGTCTTTTCTGACCAAATATCTCCTCTCTGGAAGCTACGGCATTCCTTGAAGCTGGCTGTTGCAGTCGTTCCTCCTTTTCTGCTAATATTTACTGATTCTTGTGTCATATTAAAGTCTCTTTGGTGCCTGAAGCCCACAAGTAACTGTTGTCAAAGGCTCAGTCTGTAGTGGTCATATGGACTCGCCTTCATCCTTCTTTAAATAAAATAATAAGTAGTCCATAGGAAAGAGCTACAGATTATAACTACTAGGCAGCAGATAATTTGGAACCATTACAATTCCTGATCTCTCCTTCCTGTATCTTTCTCTCTTTCTGGTCAATAAAGTTAGGCTTCACAAACCTCAGGCCGCATTGATTTCAGGTGAAAGGTGAGGTGGTCAATCTAACACCAGACAAAGTGTGGCGCAGAGTTATTGGTGTGGGAGAGAGAGAGGTGAGAGTGTGGGGGGGAGCTTCAAATCTCTGATGGGGAAAGTCAACACGCTCCCAGGTTTCAACATGAATGCTGAATTCACAGTGATATTAATGGGAAAAGGAGCTGATAAATTCACCTGTCCAAATCTGATCTTGAATGTAAAATGGTGTCTTTCTTTAGTAATAATATCACAATGGCGTTCCCTGAAGAGCCGGAACTTTCTTTGGTGACTTACGAAGCAGTACCATTAAGGGGGTCGGGCCGGGTGTGGGAGACAAGTCCTGGAATATTTCCTGCAGTTTTCCTGGCCCGCCACTCTCCATCCGTTTTCTAAATCCTAGGAATTTTGAAATCCTGCGGACGGTGTTGAGTTTTTTGTTGTACCACGTTTGTAAATGTTCCTCCTGAAGGACAAAGGAAATAACTGTTTAGAGACTTCTACAGTGAATGTCAGTGGGAGTGGGAGGGAGGGGGTTGAGTTGTGAGGGAGGGGGAGGGCAGTGTGGGTGGGGTGAATGTGCTTGAGGGAGTGTAACGCCATTTGGCCCATCATGACTGTGCCACTACCACTGTTTTTTTTCTTAATTGCCTTTTTTTTATTAAGACCACCTTCCAGCTGTTTCTCCAATTAAAACAAAGACTGGTGTTAGAGTGGCTTCCTTTTTGGTTCAATACAAGGGGCTATTGGAGTCATCTAGCTTAGTGTTTAGAACACACGCCTCGCAAGCGAGAGGACCTGGGTTCGATTCCTGGCAAAGAGAAATTGGGCAAGTTTCCTTGCTCCACATGCCTCTGTTTACCTAGTAAGTAGGAACTCGGTTATCAGTTGATTGTCGGTTCGTTTTCTGGAATAATCGCTTCAAAAAAAAATTTGGTCACTCAATCCACAACTGTTTGAGGGACGCTGCTATGCGCAATTGGCTGCCACGTTTCGCCCACAAAACAGTCAATTCACTTTACAGTATATTCTGTGAAGCGCTTTGAGACGTTTAGAAGATGTGATAAGGCATTATATCAAATGCAAGGATTATTATTATTATTAGGAGGGAGAGGCACTGGCACATGCCTTGCCAAAAAAAGCCATTAAATCCACAAGAATTATTTCACTCCAATATCTTTCACGTCAAAACACTGGTCATTATGTGTGAATGTGACTGGGAGGGGCAACACACATTCTAAATTCTTGCGGAACTTTCAGTTCCAAGATCACAAGATTAACCTGGAAAAAGGAAGCCTTTCGTCCCATCTGATCTCACTCTTCCAGAATACCATTACAACGTCAACCCTGTTTGTTTTAAATGAGACTCAGTGCCTTGGCCTCAACCAACCTTCCTATTAACCCATTTCAGTCATTAACTACGCCCTGAAACCCTGGAACACTCTTCCTCTATCTCTCTGTGTTGCCCCCTCCTTACCAATCTTCTGGTTTGGCTTGAAGACCTTCCTTTTCAACTTTGCCTACGGTCCCTTCCCTCTGGCTTTGTGTCCTGCCCCACCACTGTCAAGCGCTCTGGGTTGCTACCCTGCGTGTATGGCACTGTGTAAATGCAAGATGTTGTTGTTGTAAGTACCCTCTGCGTGAAGAAATACTCCCAGGGGTCCATCACACACCTTGAACCTATACCCTCTTCTCATCTGTGTCTGAGAGTATCGCTCTGGGTTTAATTCCTCTACCCCTTGCAGGATCTTGTGTACCTCTATAAGCTCACTTCCTTCTGGGGTTGAAGTGCCTTCCCGGGACTCACCTTGTGTTCTGGCTTTCTCAGGAATGCCGGGGGTGGAAGAGATCGAGTTGTCCGGGGTGACGCACAGTATGACTCTAACAGCAGCAGATCACAGCTTCGAAAGCAGCACTCCTCCACGATGCCCTTGTTCGGTCGCTTTATGCTGTACTTGTACTTTATGTAGGAAGTGCTTCGGCCTGAAGGACACAATAATAATAATAATAATCCTTGCATTTGATATAGCGCTTTTCACGTTGGGAGGACGTCCCAAAGCGCTTCACAGAACACACTGTAAAGTGAATTTACTGTATATTTGTGGGCGAACGCGGCAGCCAATTGCACACAGTAGTATCCCACAAACAGTCGTAGATTGAAAATGACCAATTTATTATTGTTTTTGGTTTTGGAGGGATTATTATTAGGCTCTGTGTGGAGTAAGGAAACTTGCCCAAGGTTTCGCCCTCTGCCTGGAATTGAACTCAGGTCTCTCACTTGCAAAGCGAGTGCTCTAACCACTGAGTTACAGGCAGGGTTACAATGGGAAGAGCAACGTGGTGTAGGATAGGAGCTGGTACAGCACCCAAATACTGCACAGAACAAAGAACAAGACTATACTGACGCCTGGTACTGCTCATGATAGCATGCTCACACATTTGTATACATACGTGTGCACATGTGACCATACAAGAGGAATAAGAGGATTCTAGTCCTTAAAGTCAAGAAAGCATGGATAAAGGTTTCTGCTGTGTTAATTTTGAGATACTGGCGTATGTATATTAACTAACATTCAGCCACAAGTTCCAAATTTTTCCAAGTATGTAAAAACCGTTGAACTTTCATACTAATCTACATAATTCACGTACTGAACATGTCATTTCGTTAATGTCACATAATATATCATTAATATCACGATCGTCAGATGTGGAAATGAAGATTCTAGGTTAAAATCCCAGTGGGCTCACTATTTGGAAGTTAATAAAATTAGCCTCCTGGCCACCAATGCCCCAGATTAATAGATCACAAAAATATTCTATGGTGCTGTGAGACATACCAGTAAATATCCTTTAAAATCACAATCTTGACTTTGAAATCTCTTCATGGTCTCTCTCCTCCCTACATTGGAGTCCTGTAGTTTAGTGGTTAGAGAGCTCACCTCGCTTAACAATAATAAACTGCACTTCAATCCACGACTGGTGGGACATTGCTGTGCGCAATTGGTTGCCATATTTTGCCCACAAAATATACAGTCAATTCACTTTACCGTATATTCTTTGAAGCGCTTTAGACGTCTCAACGCCGTGATAAGGCGCTATAATCAAATGTAAGTGTATATTATAAATCAATTTGCTGTTGTTAGTGAGTTGCGTTTCCAAGTGGGGAGTGCAGTATCTTTATGTGATATGTGATATTATGTGATATTATGTGATATTTTTGCATTTGTGATAACGCTGTGAACGGTTAACAAGGTAGAATATTAATCTTCATCGATCAGTGCGAGTTCAGCCCTTATATTTCCGGTGTGATCATTGATTGAGTTGATTGATTTTATACAGTATATTCGGTGAAGCACTTTGAGACATCTAGAAGACATGAAAAGTGCTATATCAAATGGAAGGATTATTATTATTATTATATGGGATTTATTTCAACTCTATTGCTTGCACTCTCGGCTCACTTGATTCAATCTAGCTAACTCGTCACAGCCATTTTCCCTTGGAGTGACAGGTTATGAACAGTTTTACTGTATTTAAGAGTATCCAACTGAGTGATATGCTCCAGCACAAAATTCGTCCTGGATGTTCTGCTCCCAATGCGATCAGCTGGTTTAGAATTTGTCATTGACAGGTTTGAGGGTAACTCTCCCTTAGCCCCTTCCTGCCAATCAGAAATTGGAAAACTCTTGAATTCAGTCTTTAAAGTTATTTGTCCAGGTTTTCCTGGCTTAGTACTAAATGGATTATTCTTTCATAGACATGATGGGCCAAATGACCTCCTTCTGTGCTGTAAATCTCTATGGTTGTATATACCCTTCCTCATTTAATATACTCCCCAAGTCAAGTTGTTATGTGTCCTATTGTTCTTTATGAGGCATTCCTCACATAGATTAGCTGATACTTTTATTTGGAATCTGTTGTATCTTGTAAAACACTTCAGGACATTTATTCACGTGAAAGGCACTGTATAAATGTAAGTTATTATTATTAATAATAATTTGGAAGCAAATTTTCCTCAGTTCTTAAAAAGAAACCAGTTTCCAATTCAGACTTAATTTGCAAATTTTCTAAAATTCTGAGTAACTTTAAAAATTTAAGCCAATGGCTGGTACCAGAAGAAATTTCAAAAGGGATTTCGACAGAGTAGATAGAGGAGAAACAGCTTCCTCTGGTGGGTTGGTCGGTAACCAGAGGACACACATTTAAGATAATTGGCAAAAGAATCGGAGGGGTGATAAGGGGAATTTTTTTAACACAGAGAATTGTTACGATCTGGAATGCACTGCCTGAAAGTAGCTTTCAAAAGGAAATTAGATAGATACTTAAAAAGGAAGAATTTGCAGGGCTATGGGATAACAGTGGGAGAATGGGATTGGTTGGCAGCTCTTTCAAAGAGCTGGCACAGGCACGATGGGCCAAATGACCAGCTTCTATGCTGTAATATTTTATGATTCTAAACCTCCGATTCCTTGAGATGCAAAATAAATGGAACAGCTGACACCTAAATCTTCTACTTAACATCTGGGGCTCAGATAGTAACACAGTAAACCTCACACAAGTCTGATCTGTATAAACTGCATAATGGCCTAAATCGTACATCTGCCCAAGGCCCATTCAAGAGTTTATATTCTATGCAAGTGTCACATAACTCATACTTTGCATAAGTCATATTAAATGTCTGATCCCAACTGATATGTCTGATGTGAGGCTTAGATAATATAGGCTTTCTATAGGGACAAATGTTCAAAGTCACATTATATTTTTAAAACTCACAGTTTTAGAGAGGCTTATGACATCAAAACACTCAAAGTGCTTCAGAGTTGATGACTGTGGTGTGTAATGTAGGAGGCTGCTATTTTGCATGAGTAAAAGTTCACAAACTGCCATGCAGTGAATGACCATTGATCTAAAGGATTGTCAGTCAAGATACTGGATGGAGAAAAACTCCTTTCTCTTTTCCAAGAGTGTCATGAGAATTATAGACTGTCAAAATACAAATAAAATAGAACGATTAGTATTTACTGGAACTGGAATATTATTGACCCCATAGCATGGTGTTGATTAGAATCAACTGGGATCTGCAGCATGGTTACCCAGGTCCTGACTACAGACTAGGCTTGGTAGAGAAGAGCTGAGCATAATCTGAGAGAGGAGTAGATGGAACTTGTTATAGTGTCATTCATAACAATCTGTGTATTTGATGTAGGATCTATAATGTCTCAAAGCACTTCCCAGGAATTAACTCTCAAGTGTATTTATAGGCAATCGCAGCAGCCAATTTGAGCACAATAGGTTCACAAACAGCCATGAAGTGACTGTCAATTTATCTAGAAGGAACATAGAAACAGAAATAGGCCATTCAGCCCGTCGAGCCTGTTCCGCTATTCTATAGAATCATGGCTCACCTACACCTCAACGCCAATTACCCCCCTTGCCCCATATCCCTTGAAACCCTACCAATAATTACTGGCCATGACACTGGGAGAAACTCCCTTCTCTTTTCCATCACACCACAGGATCTTAATAATAATAATAATCCTTGCATTTTGATACGTCCCAAAGCGCTTCACAGAACACACTGTAAAGTGAATTGACTGTATATTTGTGGGCGAACGCGGCAGCCAATTGCGCACAGTAGTATCCCACAAACAGTCGTAGATTGAAAATGACCAATTTATTATTGTTTCTTTTGTTTTGGAGGGATTATTATTAGGCTCTGTGTGGAGTAAGGAAACTTGCCCAAGGTTTCGCCCTCTGCCTGGAATTGAACTCAGGTCTCTCACTTGCAAAGCGAGTGCTCTAACCACTGAGCTACAGGACTCCACTTAGGGTTAAGGGATCTTACACATCCACCTCAACAGGGACCTCAGTTCAACGTCTTACCCAAAAGACGGCAACAGTGCTGGGACCCCCAAGCACTGAAATGGAAAGTTTACCTCTGGGATGTGCCCTTAAGGATGGATACTTGTGGGTGTGGGAGAGGGAATGGAAAAGTGTACTTTGTGTCAGGGGCTGGCTTGTCTTGGCAATTTCTGGGTAAGGGCTGCCGAGATGTGGATTTTGGCTTTTCTATGAAGCCCCAATCCTCAGGGATGCAGTTGTCAAGGAGTAAGTTACGGTATAGAAGTCACATGACCAGTCCATAAACCCAAACAACCCACAAAGTTTACGAGAACTTATTTCCAAGAAAGTAGCGCTGGCGGAATGCACGCTCCTGGAAAGCCAAGCCAAAGCAGGGTTTAAATGAAAGTCACATGTTTAATTAAAGCAGCTAGTGTTAACCTGAACGTACTGAAGTAAAATCCCCGATCTCCACACACAAACTGCAGCGTGTCCACCAGCTCGGAGCCACACAGCATCTCGGCGTCCACCACCCACCAGGGCAGCAATGCTAGACACAGGAGGGGATACAGCAACCAGACTTGCCTCAGTGCATGGACCTGTATGTGACAAAGCATAGAGTTTGGTTAGACACACCAACCCGGAGCATCCATTGTATCTCAGACTACTTTACGGAGAATCTTTGAGGCGTCCAAATCCAGTCTTATTGTTGTAAATCCATCACCCTTAATATTTAATATTACGTTTAATGGCAGAACATTTTTAGAATTCAGCCTTAATTGGAAGCAGTTTCTTTTTAAGAACTTCAGAAAACTTGCTTTGATCCAGGTTCAGAGTGGATTTTGGAATTTCCGCACCATCTTGAGTTTAAAGCTTAAAGATAGAAATTCCACGTGGGTCTAGATTTACTCACGCTTTCTTAGAATTTGGAAAATCCTTAAATAGACTTAATTTAGTGATGTAATATTAAGGCTGAACCCCACAATTGTCAAATTCTACGTATTCTGTAACAATACAAAATAACATTTGTATAGTAGCTTTCACATCGGGAGGACATCCCAAGGTGCTGAGAAAATAAGGAGAAATCTGGACCCAGGTGGAATGTCTCCCCAAAGATGGCAACAAAATGGTCTTTCAGGCTAAGACTAGGTGAAATTTAAGGGTTTTGACGACTAGCACCTTACAATAAATTAAACAGCACTTACATTTTATACAGTACTTTATCACCTCAAAATGTTTCAAAACGCCTCAAACAATGAACTTACTGTATCAACTAGTTTGCTGGTCATTTGAGAATCATAGAATTATACAGCACAGAAGGAGGCCATTCGGCCCATCGTGTCTGTGCCAGGTCTTTGAAAAGAGCTATCCAATTCAACCCCACTCTCCCACGCTCTCCCCATAGCCCTGCAAACTTCTTCTCCCCAAATAATTATCTACTTCTCTCTTACTTCGGCTTCCACCAGCCTTTCAGGCAATACATTCCAGATCCCAACAACTCACTGTGTGAAAACATTTCTCCTCACCTCCCCTCTGTTCCTTTTAACAACTATTTTAAATTGGTATCCTCGGGTTACCGACCCTCCGCCAGTGGGAATATTTCTCCTTGTTCACCCTATTGAATCCCCTTTTGTACACCTCTATTAAATCTCCATTAACATTGTCTGCTCCAAGGAGAATAATCCTCGCTTCTCTTGCCTCTCCTGATAACTGAAGTCCCTCTTTCCTGGTCAATCTCCTTTGCACTCTCTCCAATGCCTTGACATCCTTCCTAAAGTGTGGGGCCCAGAACTGAACACCAGTGTTTTATAAAGGTTATATTATCTCTCCTCATTCTTCCTCCCCAAATTCATCACTTCGCATTTCTGCACATTAAATTCATCTGCCACCTGTCTGCTCATTTTACCAGTCTGTCTATGTCCTCTTGCAGTCTGCTACTAACCTCCTCACGTTTATTACTTTTCCTAGCTTAGTATTATTTGGAAAATTGGAAATTGTGCTCCCTATACCCAATCCAGCTCATTTAAATACATCACAAACAGCAGTGGTCCCAATACCGTCCCCTGGAGGACACCACTGCACACTTCCCTCCAGCCAGAAAAACAACCGTTCACCACCACTCTCTGCTCTCTGTCTCCCAGACAGTTCTGTATCCGCTGCCACTGTCCCTTTAATACCGTGGGCTTCTGTCTCTTATGTGGCACTTTATCAAACGCCTTTTGAAAATCCATATAAACTACATCAACTGCACTACCTTCACCCACCCTCTCTGCTACTTCATCAAAAGACTCCATCAGGTTTGTTGGACATGATTTGCCTTTAATAAATCCGTGTTGACTGTCCTTTATTATCCCATAATTTTCTAAGTGAAAATTTATTTTGTCCCAGATTATAGTCTCTAGAAGTTTCCCCACTACTGACGTTAGGCACTGGCCTGTTGTTCCTGGGTTTGACTTTCTGTCCCTCTTTGTACAGTGGAGTAGCTGCAACCCTCCAGTCCTCTAGCACCACTCGTGTCCATGGAGGATTGAAAGATTGTGGCCAGAGCCTCCACTATTTCCACCCTACTGAAAAAGGCTGGGTTGATGCTGCAGTGTAGTAAAGGTACCGTCCATCAGACGAGGTGTTAAAATTAAAGCCAGGTTCGGGTTAAACAAGCACACTGAGCCCTTTTGACATTACAAGAGGCAATGTGATAAATGTAACGATTGTTACTAACATTCCAAATAATTCTATTGGATTTTTTACATCCACTTGAAACAACCTCAGGTTAACACTTCATCTGAAGCATCGCACCTCTAACACTGCGGTGCCAGTGGTGCCAGTCTGGATCAAGAGCTCGAGTCCTAGTGCCCAGACCCACTGCCTGACTCAGACTGACAAAGTCCTATAAGTAACATGTCTTCTCGGGAAGTTCTATGTTTGAGAAATTGTTCTTCATTTCCTGCATTTTTGAAATTCTGCTTTGTAATATTGGACATTCCAAATGCTCTGTGGGTATTTTTACAGCGGTTGGTTAGGTAATGAGAACCGTGTGCACCCTGTGAATGTGCTGCTCAGCCAGCCGGCCTGGGTCATCCTGCCAGAGACACGCTACTTAACACAGACATCAAGCTTGCACACTCACGTGCGTGCACAAACACACAGGCTTGTGTATATGCAAATAAACACACGAACATGGATACACATGCATGTGGATACACACAATGGCACACATACACCTGTGCACATTTACACACAAGAATACATGAATGCAACCACATGCACGCTCAAATCCACAAACATGGGCACACAGACACACATGCACCCACGCACACACACACGCACACACACAACTACACACATGCACATCATAGTAACATAGAACTAAAGAAAAGTTAGCATTTATCTGGTCACTTGTCCCATCCCATCTCTCCCTGTCAATGGCTACATCATGAAAGATCCTATCTTTCTCTCGTCCCCTCCACCTAGAACCTTCGCTGGGCAAACCGACACAACAACAATTTGCATTTATATAGCACCATTCACGTGGGGTGGCATCCCGGTTCGCCCTCCGCTCTACACTCCATAACTGTGTGAAGTACTTCAATCAACACTCTGTTCCCCTCCCTCTTCACGTGTTTGTGACCGTGATGCCTTGTTGTGAAACTCTTGACTATAGTGTATGAGGTGTTGGGAGTCCAGATTGTCTGCATGATTTCAGATACAGGAATCCTCAATGACATCCTTCCTCTCCTCTCCAATAGAAACATTCCCA